TAGAAACTTCAAGGTCTTCCTATAAGATCTGGACTCAGAGTATGATGCCAGTTTGATGGAGCCCAGATTTCCAAATCAGCAAAGATTTTATTTGATCGTATGGTCAGTGAGGCAAATGACAATATTCCCCCTAGCCTGCCTTTTTAAACTATATTTGCTCCCGTTTGAAGCTTCAGTTTAGCACACTTAAAGAAGGTTCACAGGGGTCTGATATCCATTGCCCTGCAGCTGGTGTCTCTGTCTACACAGTTGTTCTGCAGTAGAGTTTCCTGGGTGGCTGTGGAAACAATAGAGAAGTGGCCGTTTGGTTTAAGGGCAAAGGGACAAATGCTAGCTCTCTAGCAGTCACTAATAATATAACTGAAATTGCTGCAGGGAAGCCTGAAAACTTTGGCAGGCTCAAGGTGAGAGGGAATAAGATATTGCCATTGGGAAGCAAGTCTTCTATGCAAACATTTGAGGTTTTTGATTTACCAGCCACTGTGAAGCCCCCCCTGCTCCCCCCCTCCAAATAGGGTGTCAATGACCGTGCAGATATGGTGACAGACGGTAAAGGCGTATGTAGTAACTGAGGGCTGCAATCCAGAGGATTAAATGTGTTCTGAAAAAAGGCCAAACGTGTTTTCAAACAGCCGTGGTGAGTTTAATCTATGTGAAGAATACATTCACACAATCTGCCTTATTCCTATAGTCTCTGCCCTCTTCCGTATTTATGGTCTTACAACGTGCTTTTTTTGCTTGTACCCTTTTCTCCCCATTTTGGTGAATAGACAGTCCACAGAAACAAGGCTGGAAGCCCAATACAACGGAAACATTAAAACCAACCACTTCCAAAGCTCTCAACGCATACATTTTCTGTGTATGTATACACAGAAAATCCCTTAGGGAAATTCACTTTTGTTCTCTTGTTATAATTCTTTTATTTCTAGCTGTTGCTCTAACAGTAATGAGAGAGGTTTTCAGATGAAAGCTACTTTAGTAGCTTTATTTCATAATGATTAGTTCAGTAACTATAGAATTTATTAATCAAAGAGATGTTTGAATTTGATCTGGTGTTATGTATTTGATATGTATGTAGTGTGTTTCAGAACACCTGACAATTAAAACTAGTTTTGCTTTTATATGTTTTTGTTGACCATGATTTATATATGGAAAGCATAGTTTACAATTTCAAAGGTTTGGTGAAGTAGTTTTTTTTATTTTAAACTGAGATACTTGGACGAATGAACAAATGAGTACTCTTTACATAAAGAAATAGGCAAAGAAATTAGTTGATTTCGGTCAATATCTGATAAAAGAAAAGGTTTTTAAGTGAAACTGATTTCATATTGGATTATTTCTCCAAAAAGTAAGGGAATTACATAAATTAAGAAAGTCTCATCTAAAATTCTGTATCTAAAGTAGTTGTATTTTTCTGCATTCTTTGAATGTTCTTCAGAAAATTGCAGTGAAATAATTTTGCGTTTCAAGGTTGAGTGAAGCTTAGCTGTTAACCAACTATAGAGAATAAACAGGGAAAATAGGCAGCTTAATGAATGTGGAAGTAAATGGATTAAAATATTTCCATAATTTTTTTACTGTTTCTACTTGTTAACTATAACTATAACTACTGGTATATGTTGATAAGGATCAGTTTTGATTTATGTGTTATTATGTTTATTTAGAATAAAGCACCTGCTCTTGTTAACTGTAACTCTTACAGTGAGCTACTGCAGGACTGATTCCACCTCCTTAGTTCCTGTTGGCTTTATTGGACTGTCTCCTGATCTATGTCCTAGTATAAAGGAAAAGAAACTACCTCTTTTGCTTATTTAAAATATTGGCTGACATAGTTTTCTTAGAATCTACAGTCATTTAAACCTACTGGTATTCTCCTGAGAGTTTCCTGTTTATCTCAGCTGATGTGGATTCAAGGCATTGAGGAATTTCTAGTTGTCCTTACACTATCCTGACATTTCCAGGCTTCGGGACAATGATACAGGAAACGTGGACTGAGGGCTCCTCTGGCACTCTGGGTACGTGATGCCGTATGCTGATGCTGGAGGTAGTATTCTGACATTTATCCAGAGCTTCTGAACACATGTTCTGACAGCTTGCCTTTCAGCAGCAGGCTCATGACAGGCCAGGTCCTTATTGGAACTAGCCTGTTTAACTTTATCCTACATTAGATGTGGTCTGTACTTTTGTAGTGGACTTGAAGTTGGCATAAGCTTCCAATCTTGTGCTCAGACTTAGTTCAACATAATGCTGCCTGATTCAGATCAAATTGATATTGCTTAGTGACCTGCGGGGCATGGACAAGCTGTTAATGATAGTCTTTTGACACATTTTTGCCTACATGAAGCAACTGATGAAATGTTATGACTTTGCTTTTCACAGAAGCAACCTTTTACTTTGCAGTCTCTTTCAGTGGTGGGAACTTATGATTTATTCTTCCATTATAATCTTCCCTGCCTTTTTTCAGTGGAAGAATTGTAAATTTTTGTCATAACAGCAAATGCTTGTCAGTGGTAAAAAGAAGAAAATCTTTTGCTTCTGTTTTTGAATAAGAGAAAAGTCCAAACAAATGTTCCTGAGGACTAGAGTCTTGCATAACTTTTGTTTGTCATTCCAGTAATAAAATTTCCCCAAAGTACTTAATTTCTTATGTTTTCCTTTCAATGGCTAGAAACCAGGCCATTTTTTCTCATCATCCTTACCATAACACAGCAAATTTTCTTGCTTGCTGTTGGCATCCCTGAGGTACTGTTTATACACAGATAATAATAGCAGACCCTGTAATTGAAAGGGAAACCAGGATGCATTAAGGGTGCAACTTTCTGTATTTTACAGCACTGGTTTGGCACTACTCCCTTTTCTGGTTTTTCTCCTGGGATTTGCTTTTTTTTCCAACATGTAAGCTTCAAGCAACTCAGATTTAGTAATGAGTGAATAGTAATTTCACTGTATCATTGCAGATTGTTATTTGAGATGACATATGGCCTTTCCCTAATGGAAATCTGACAAATAGACAGTCCTTGATTTGCTGATATGATAAAGCAGATATTATTATTGTTACTACTGAAATTTGTTTAAAGTGACCTTTAAGTAAAGGGTGTTAATAGCATCATCCAGGAAAGGATCAGTATATATTTGGTACATTTTCTCAATGCTAAATAGTAGGTTGATGTATTGTTAAGTGTTCCATACATGCATACACACACACACACACACACACACACACACACACACTCTCTCACACATACATATATATATATGCATGTATATATGTATGTATATACACTCTCCAAGCATTACAACTGTATTTCATTGTCAAACCCAGCTGGGTTTCCTCCATTGTTATAGCACACTTTTATATAATTTGGTGCAGAATATCTTTGATTCTACATACTAAAGGCACTTTTCTAACACATACATATAGGCATATTATGTTGTATTATGTATTTTTTATAGTGTGAATGGAGCTTGTAAATTTATTTCACCCCATACAGGTTTTTGCTAAGAGGAGTAGAATTCATGTTATTATCAGAGTTAATTTACATTTTTTGCCTAATGTTTGCTACTGGTTCCAGTTTAACTCTCTGTAACATTATAAAATCAACTGCTGAGAAGTACATTGATTCAGCTTTATTGAATTCAAAATATGTACTTTCTTGCGTCACAGGAAAGAAATTGAAATACCTTCTCTTTTTCTTTTAATTTAATTGAACATCTGTAGTGGGAACAGACTGTAATCCTACAAGAGCTTGGATGCTTTGTTGTCGTGTCCACAGTGGGGCTGAGTGCAGAATCAGGAATTCTCTTTACATGTTTGTCCTTGAAACTATTTGATCTGGAGGGAATTGAAGGATTTGGATTTTCTTCCTTTGACTGGGGCAGCATTCATGTCTGTATGTACATCTCTCTGCAGTCCGCAACCCATCTGAAGAACCTGGAGAAAAAGTTGTGTGAGTTGTATGCCCACTTCAAAAGTAGATTTAATTTAGGAAAATTATTTACATAGAAATACTTTTCACTGTTTGTCCTGATGTTGCTATCCTGCTTTGTGGAGTATTCTAAACAGAGAAGCAGCTAGAAATGTGAATTATCTAATTATTAATTTTCAGTTGTGATGAGAATTTGCTAGATATCCCAAAACTTCCATATTATGACATGCATTTTAACTTTCTGATCTCAATCTGTTTTAATGGAGACAATTTTGTAAACTACCATCTGTGATCTAAATCACTACAGAAAGTATGCTGGGCATGTTGAAGGTATGTCCTGGTGGCCAGCTACCTTTTGTGCTACTGTGTAATAGCTATCAGTTTGAGTCATGGCAGCAGTGATTAAAAGCAGACTGTGGCCTGTAAAGAAAGTCCAGAATGCTTCTCAGTTTGATTCAGCTCTGATTCCTCCACCTAGACCTCTGAGGAATTCTGGTTCCAGCTTGAGGAATGCTGGTTTCCAGCTGTAACTCTCTCCTGCGAGTGAAACTACTCAACACTGCAGTCCGCATGCGTATCGGAGTCTTCTTGCTTTATGCATGGGTAGTGGTAGGATTGATGGAAGGGCTTGCAATGCATTGCAGCTGCAGGGTTTGGTAGAACTCACGGCACGGTGCTGTTCTGGCAACCTCCTTGGGTTCTCCCTTCCTGTCTTCTTCATAGAGAGCTTTCCTTCAGCTGAGGGCTTTTTACCTGGTGCTTTTTCTGATGTTTTTCCGTCATGCCTGGTCTTTAGTTTATGTACTTCAGCACATGTTTTACACGTGCATAATCTATTAATCCCCCTGTAGAATATTGCTATTTGTGTTTTGAGAAGTTTGCAAAATTCTTGTGTGGGTCCCTAGTTTTGTCCTCATCTGGAGATTCCCATTACTTTCTGGAGTTTGCAAAGTGATGTGATAAAAACCAGGGAGTTAGATGACAGAGTCATGGGATGCTACAATGCGAGTTCTGTGCCTCATTGTGGGTTCATGAGAGATAAATACTAACCTGCTTTGTTTATTTTAGGAGGTTTTGGTTATGGACACAAGGGCAAGTTCATTGGAAAAGGCAGTGGCAACAATGCCATAATCACCAGCAGTCCCATGACAGTTCAACAGCTGGGACCTCTTTCACCTTCAGCGAATCAGCTTTCAACAGCATGCAGCCAGATCAGCCCTAGCTTACACAGGTCTATGGATGCTTCCAGCATGAGTGCTTCTCCATCAGCTACAAGGTCCTCAATTACCTTTTTATATTTAGTACTTTAAAAGGAGGGGATTTTAATTTTTCCTTAATTACAGTGCAACATTTCTGGTTATTAAAATCAGAAAATTCTCTGTTATGCCATGGGGAGTTGAATTCCATGCAATTTAATTCAGATCAGCTATAATCATGCTTCATGTTTGGATCATTCAAATAATGGGTGAAATTTGGCCACACAAAATCTGTGTATGATAGGACTTTTGTATTAAATAAAAGCTGTTTTATAGTCGCAAGCTAGATTTTTGTGCTTGGTATAGGAAGTGTTATGGAGGATGAAAGCAGAAATAGTCCACGTGTTACATAGTGCTAAGTGTGCCATGTTGGTGTCTTTCAAATAACATCAAGGACAGACAAAAAAATCATAAATGCTCAGCACATGTTCCTCTCTCCTCATCAAATGCATTTGCTTTCAAATGGCTTGTTTACCATCTGATAATTAATCAGATCAAGTGTCCTTGAAAATTTGTTTTCCTAGTTCTGTTATGTAGGTAAAGAAAACAATGACCACTTCCTGTAAATGTTACCTTTTTATATCACTACCCCACAGATAAACATTTATTAATTAATTTAAAATGCTTAAATAAGTTTCGAGATTATGACTTTGAGTTTTGTCAGCAAATATGAATTAGGGGAAAACAGGTTTTTGAGAGCTACCCTATAAGTACATTCGGCACATATCTGGATGTTAAAAATGCAGTGAGAAAATATTCTAGTGTATTATTTTGGAATCTACATTCCCCATTGCCTATTGAGTTTTGAAATTGCCTATTGAAATGTAGTTTTTATTTACAAAAGACCATAAGAGTCTTTATTCTCACAGCAGTTTACATTTACTGTGTTGCTTTATTACAAGCCAAGGGACTTCCCTGAAATAATTAAAATTGGTACTTTGCAAATAGAATAAAACCTCGCTTTACTCTTAAGATAATTTTTAACATTTCTGTCACTTTAGTTGTGCAGACTGAGCCCCCTGGGAAAATATACAAAATTAATTATGCTTCCTATGTAGACATGTCAGCAAAAACCATTCAATGCTAAGACGATGACACATGACAAATCCAAATAGATGCTTTTCAGATCAAATAAAACTGACACTAGAAAATTATAATTACATACATACAATTGTTATGTACTTAAGTTTTAGGTGTGCCTATGCGGCTCCAAATACTCAATGTGTGGTCGGATGTATCATGTCAGTACTGAGTTACACAGTTTTGATTTCATTTCAAAGAAACATTTACTAAGGGCAAACTCAAGTTGAAACTCTGGAAGAATCAAGGCTGTGATGTCCCTAGAGTACCTTTTAATGCTTTATCAATGAAGGTGTTTTAAAATAAGTTTATCATACAAAGAATGTCAATTTCAGCAATTTTTACCTCAATTTGTTTGATAGGGCAAAGCAAGTTTAAAGTCAGATTCTAACTCACATTCTCAAAACAGTGTGGGGTTTTTTTCTTTGTGTTTTTTGGGGAGGTTGATTATTTGTTGTTCAGTTTTGAGCTTTTTTGGGTTTTTCTGATTAAATTTCTTAAACTATGAACTGCTTTTGCCTTAGTGAAATTGACTGGTTCTTCCTAGGCAGAGTGCTTTCTCTGGATTTTATCTCTCAGGCACTGTGAACTGTGTTCTGGCAGCTCAACCCAAACCAGATTATTAGTTGAATTTACCAAAGCAGAAGTGAATTTTCTTGATTTTTACTGATGGAAGAAAGAAATCAGTTGGCAAAATAAGAGTTTTGCTACACACAGTGTCAGATTCTGGTGTACAGACCATGGAGGGTAAAACCTTCCCCATATTTTTTGAGTTTCTGTACTTTCTGTTTTGGAGTATTCAGTGGTGTTGCATCAAACCAGGTGTGTATAATAGGACTTTTTTAATAGATAAAGGCTGTTTTATAGTCACAAACTAGATTTTTGTACTCAGTACAGGAAGTGTTATGGAGGATGAAAGCAGAAATAGTCCACATGTTACATCCATGCCATTTGCTTTGATGAAAGACAAAAAACGACCTAGGAAAGAGCAAAGGGTTCTTGCCTAGTAAATAGAAGACCCTTAAAAGAGAGAAAAACATAATTTTCCCTATTCCATGTTTATGTTCAGGATTCTGGATTATACATTGTGGCCTCTGTACACAAAGGGAGAATACAATGTAATTGAAAAGTAATCTCTTGTAAATGGTAATGAAAGAGCTGGTCCAAACTCAAGCGCATTTAGTTTACAATAAGCAGATGCACCAATTAATACCATCTGAGATTCTGGCACCCTGATAGATCTGGTCCCTCATTTTCATATTAGGTGTATTTATTTTCCTCCTATTAGAAAACTACTCAGTTACAGTAGTGGCTGAATTTTAAATAAATCTTCACTTTTTGGGGAGCTGGAATTTTTATTAGTTTTTGAATTTAGATGCTGAAGTGCTGCAGCTTCTTCAGAATAGCTTGCTCTTATTGTATACTTGAAATTCTGGGCCAGCTTTTTATTTTTATTTTTTCTCCCTATTATGAGACTTTTAAAAAACAGTTTTTCTTCAGATTCACTGATGGATATGCCCCTTTTGTGTTAGGCATTAGTAGTTTTTTGTATGACACTGGTTGTACTATACATCTGCTTAAAACTCTTGTCAGTACAAAAATAGGCTTTTTATTGATGCACGATTTCTTTTTCTTTATTCATAAAAGAGAAAATAAAAATTTAAAGAAAACCTGGCAGAACACCCCTACCCCCTCCTCATATTTTCTAGGTGTGAATTGTAGCATGGAGAAATCAAACCTTGCTTGTCTTGCTGTGTTGAAAAATGTGGATCTGTATTTGGGGTCACAACATGCTAGCATGATTTAATCGCCCTATAATGGACTGTCCTTTAACAAAGCCCCTTGACAACAGCCTAAATCAACTTTTTCCCAGTCATCCTTTGAGATCCAAATGGCACACAAGGCTGGCCTGATGGAGCAGTCTCATTTTTCTCACTTCTCCCATTGCAAATTGTAGTCAGCATGCTAATTGTGCTTTCTGTCTGTAGTCAGTTTTGCGAGTGCCGTTCAAACCCTGATGGAGTCACGTAAGGTCCATGACAGCACCGTGCCCTGGCACTAAATCACAACAGGACGTTTCTTATTCTGACACAGCAGATCAACCATGCACGGCAGAGCAGCTCTTTTGCACAAAGGGGCGTTTAACCGTCTCTCCCACACCAAGGCTTGCTGCTCTTTTAAGCTACGTTTTCCCTGTTTGTGAGCTATTTTACAGATACAGCACCTGCAGACTACCTCCTCTCTCTCTCAGGCTGTGCCAAGCTTCCCCTCCAGTGTCCTTGGTCCGTCATTGAAATTCTGTGCTTCTTCAAAACTGTGTCGTTAAAATAATAAACCAAATAATTCATTCTCAAAATATAAGATGTAGAGGCTTCTGGGAGATTGTCAGGTTTATCTAGATATGTAACCAGTTCTTTCTATTGTAAGAGCTCCTTAAAAATAGAAATTTATATACTGATAGCACCACTAGCTGGTAGGAAATACAAATCTGCCTGGGTGTGAACTGGAAACAAAGAATTAAATCCAGTTAACCTTCAGCCAGCATTTACAGCTATGACTCAGGGCCCTTGATGCCCCTTTTATTTTCTTTTTATCCCTTTCTGTAGAAAACAATACTTTTAAGGGCCTATATATTGAGGGTTTTCAAGCTATCCAAAGAATACTTGCAGGATAAAGAAGCTCCCTAATATCTCTCTGAAAAATGCTTGATAACAGCAAGATTAGACTTTTGTGAAAAATTTTGATTGCTGACTTGGAGGCAGATACCTCCTCAAATCAAATCTAGAAAACCTCTTCAACCAGTTCTCCTACATTACTCATTTATTTTGTTTGTTTTATAAAGTTAGATATTATCTGTATTTGTAAACTTGATATATAAAACTTCTGTAGGGAAGTATTTGTATGTATTACAATTGACAAAGTCATTGTAATACAGGATGAATATCCATTCTCTTTGGATTAGTTTTCTTTCTGGTTTTTTTCAAGCAAAAATAATGGATGACTTAAATCATTTTGGGTTTCATAGGAGGCAGGAACATAATGCTTTGGCTTCAGAAGTCCACACCTATTTACACCACAACTGATGAAAAGACATGCAATAATTTCTGCAGTGGTGGATCAATAATCTTTAAAGTAACTTTCTTTCAAAATCTTGAAGTTTTGAAGTTGGCTTCCTAAGTGACCTTTTTACATGTATATTGCCTTTGTATAACTACTGGTACATTAACTGAGTGTCCTAAACTTGAGCACCTAGTATTAGGGAGAGCTTTTCTCACATGTAGCCTTTCCTTAATTTTAAGCATGCATGTGAAGGTAAAAGATCTACTTCTGAATTGTCTAACTGCTTACTTTATTGTACCTTTATTTCAGGTCACTCTTGTCATGTGAGACTCTGGCCTCTACAACATTAAGCTTGTCAGAAGGTCATTCCCCTCTGAGTGTTGAACAAGAGTGGTCACATAGGTACAGGACACTTTCTTCTGTTCCTCCTGACCAAGGTTTACAAAATGGCAATGAGCTGGGGGACTGCGTAAATTTTTCGCCTGAAGCATCTACATCCAGTGACTCATTACCATCCTACTTATATGGCATGGAAAATAAGAATTCCCCTTACTCTAGTCCTTGCCAGTCCTCAGCCTGGTGTCAATCAGCCCGCTCCAAAAAGAGAGCACGCTCTGTATCTCCTCTGTCTGACGGCATTGGGATCGAGTTCAATACAATCATTCGTACGTCCCCAACTTCTCTGGTCGCCTACATCAACAGCTCCAGGGCATCGCCAGCAAACGTCTCCCCACAGCCTGAGGTCTATGGACATTTTTTGGGAGTGAGAGGAAGCTGTATATCACAAAACTGCTCTGTTTCAACTGCCCAGAAAGGCTTCCATATGGCGAATGGCGGTGTCACCTTTCCGGGATATGTTGAGAACGGGACAGGTGAGTACCAGCGGATGCAGCAGCTGGAGCAAGCCAGCTTGCAGATGGTTGCCACAAATAACATGGTGATCCAGCAGGGTGTGCTGGCCATGGACAGCCATGCAATAGACGTCCTGAAAAACAAGCAGCTGGGTGACTTCTCGGGCCCTGTTGTTGACATGCCTCTTTCAGCCGTGGTGCTGCCACCGCCTCCTCCACAGGGGCCACCCCCGCCGTACCACGCTCACCAGCGCCGGCACGTACACGGCCTCCCCGGCCACGTCCCCGCGCTGCAGGCGCTGCCCCCAGCCCCAGGCGCCCCGCTGCAGGAAGATGGAGAGCTGGAGGATTTCAATGGCAAGCATGGCTGTTGCTGGGTTGACTGTGGGAAGCTGTATGACCATCAGGAGGAGCTTGTGCGGCACATAGAGAAGATCCACGTAGACCAGAGGAAGGGAGAAGACTTTACGTGCTTCTGGGCAGGGTGCCCTCGAAGGTTCAAGCCATTTAATGCCCGTTACAAACTGCTGATTCACATGAGAGTCCACTCAGGAGAGAAGCCCAACAAATGCACAGTGAGTCTGAGCTCTGTCTTTCTTAACAATGAAAGGCTCTCTATTACTTAGGAAAATAGAGTGAAGTTGTAATTCTGCCTTTGCTTCTCCCATTTAATGGTGTACTTCTTGAACTAGTCTGTGAGAATGAAATAACTGTTCCATCTTCCCACCTAAACAGAAAGGAAAGGTGTTCTTTAATTTGGTACATACCAACAGATAGGATTAGATGAAAAAACAAATTGTGTTTTCTACATTTATAAACTTTTATTGTAGACTGCAACAAGTGACATGGTAAACCTGCATAATGCAAAACTGAGGCACAGTCAGTACTTAAGTATTTGCATGAAGGATGCATGCAGGAAAGGTGCTGCAGAGCAAATGTCAAATTTTTCCTGAGAGCTTCTTGCATCACGTGACATCTTTTTGACTTGAGGAATTTTCAAGACTTTCCATAATGTTACCACAAGAAACTGAGAAGTGTTGAGCATTTTTTAAGGCAGTTGTTTGTTCTACTACTAAAAACCAAACCCACATGCCTGTTTCCATTAGTACATTAGGAATAAATCCCATAATAATTTTTCTTTTCACAGATTCTGTCAGTGAGCATTCAACTCCTGAAGTCATGTTTTTCTAGCAAGAAAAATTTCTTAGGGCCACAGCAAGTCAGTCTAACACACAGGTAGTCACATGGGTTAATAATCTGGCTGTAAGCAGTTTGTGCTTGGTCTCTAGTGCACCATCTATAATCTCTGTAATACAGATTCTTGAATTGCCTTACATATAGTCTGTATTTTGGGTGACCATGAGCTCAACCTAAGTGCTTATTTAGTGTTGTCTGACCGCAACCTCAGTTTTGAGTCCACAGCATAAATTATAATGGATATATAATTTCTAGGAATAACCGCTGATTAAAAAACATATGTTTACATGTGGTGAAATTTAAATTAATGATTGGAGTCTATATCAGTGTATGTGCTGCTGAATTTTTTTTTTTTAGCATGATGTAGATGTTTGCTTGTAGAGTTAAGAGAAAAAGTCTGTTTCTTTTACTTTTGTTTTTTCAAAGGGCTAGCATCCTGCAGGATAGAGTGGATATCTTTCCAGATTTCCGTCCTTTTCCATCCGCATTTAAAGAATCTAGTAGAGATTGTGTTGTGATGCTAGAAAGGCTTTTTATCCTTCCCTTTTGTCACACCAGAGTCTTAACTCAGGCTCTCTGCTTTCTGAATATTTTTGTAAATTCCATAATATTCTCTTTCTGCTCTCTGTGTATATTGGATCGGGGTATACCATTAATTTCAGTTCTTCCTCAAGGATTTCTCATCATCTTTATGGGAAGAGAGAGAATGAGGAAAAAAAATTACTATGAGTCAAGAAAGTAATTTTTCAAGGGAATATCATGTGTAATTAAAGATAAGAAGACAGACATCAGCGGATGAGTAAAGACAGACAACGGGATGAAGAAAGAGGGTAGGAATGATGAAAGAGCACTGAAAAAGAGTAAATCCAGAAACCCAAGGTCTTTAAAATAGAAGAATTATGATGAAGGATCCTGTGATACTGGAGAAAACACTGTGTTGGTAATACACTAAACTCACTGCCCTCCCTGTTCAGAAAGGGTGCTTACAATGACCTCCTGATTATAAAGCCTCCTTGAGGCATCCTTAGCTTTGAAGATCATTCACTGATGATAAGTAATATCATCAGTGGATGAGTGGATGACGTATTTCTTATGATAAACTTTTCAAATGAGTGGATAAGGTATTTCTTATGATAAACTTTTTGAGATTACTAAGCCAAAACTAAACCCTAAAGCACACCAAGTCTTGCTGTGTCACCAAAATATAAGAGGTGTCTAGATCAATTTCTCAAAGAATCATTGTTTTTTAAAGTGTGTTTAATATTACTGAACTCAAGCAAGCATTGCTGAATAGCTCCAAGAAGTTTGTGTATCAGAAGCAGTGCCCACATACTTACCTTTCCTTCCTGCTGAGAATTGTAATTAAATGTAGAAATACTGAGGATGATATGAAAACCCTTGTAATGTGAGTGTAAATCTGGAACATACGTCCCCTTTATTGGAATAAGCAAGCAAATATGGCATTCTTTAGCACGGTTTGAATGAAACAACTTGTTGCTTTATTCCTTTACCATTTCACAAATGGTGCGAATTTGGAAAAATGTATTTGGCTTTCTAATGTCCAGCAGCCATACTTTCTTGATATATTTAGAAAATTTACTTCAGTCAGACATCATACCTTTCTCACCAAGCAGTGAAATTTGCAATCATATCCATGCCATATAAGGTTTCAAACGGAGATTTTAAGTGAGGTATTTGAGAGAACATTTTGGGCAAGATGATAATGAAGAATGGCTTCCAAATTAATTAAAAAAAATTACGCTAAAGAAATCTGAAAATTTTCACTAAACCTCTACGAATTTATGCTTTTAAGTACAAAAACAAAACAATCAATTTATAATCTTTTTGGTCCATTTAGAATATTTCTAAAATTTATTTTCTGTTTCTAGGTGTAGCATGCCTGTTTCTCTGAAATTACTGAAACTAATAGTCTCTATGTCCACTGTAGTCTAGTAAGAGGAAGTCCAGTAGAGCAAACAGGAAAAGTGGCAAGAATACAACTATTATATTAATTAACTAGATTTAGTGTAAAGAATGGGTCAGAAGTATTAAGTCATGGAGAAGAGCCATCTTCATGTAGTCTATCAAGACATCCTGTAATCAAAGGCAGGCGCGGTTGTATCCGTCATCGTACTGCCATCACACTCTAATCTTTGTGTAATCTTTGTGCACATGTTGGTGGTTCAAGAACAACAGTTTGCAAGACACAATCTTCTCATTGAGCAGAAATTGCAGTGAGTCCTAGGCAATATACTTGTCATGTCAGTATATTTACTTGCCAGTGTTGTTTATCTCTGTACAGCTGAGCATTGAAAGTGTATTGTTACACGTTCTGTGCATCCCTAAGGATTGCTGTGATATACAGTGAGCTTTACATCAGCAAGATTCATGAGATTTCAGTAATTTTTAAGGTGAAGGTTACTTCTATGTAGTATTGTAATAATAGTAGAGATAACATGAAATTAGATACACAACTTCATAAGCTGAACTTCGTAACATAATTTTATTCTTCTCTGTTATTGTTTGTGCCAATGAAGTCATGTAGTTCAGAACAGACTTGCAGGACAGCTAGAACTTCAATACTTGATATGCTTATCCTTAAAACCAGAACCATGCTTATAGTTAAAATCAGTCAAGTGACCTCAGCATTTGTTTTGCCACATCTGAATTAATGTATATTCATCTATGTAACAAAAATTTAGGGCAATTTTAAACTAAAGCTGCAAGTGATATTTTACTCTTTAGTTCCTGCTTGTTCTAGATGAGCTGTCTTCTTTGATTCTTCTTTGATAAGATAAAAGTGTTGAAGGGTGAATAATAATAAAATATCAGCACATAAAAACATGTGACAATCAGGATAATCCAATCCAAACTTAAAGAATTTGTTTGGAATAGCAAGTCTTTAAATAGCTATAAAAATGCATTGGGCTCCCTTACTATTCATTAAACATCTTGCATGTTCTATTCTAACTTACATCACCTGGGAAGCATTCTTCTTTTCAGTAAACTGGTTTAGTGACTAGAAAAATTATTCACAACATAATAGTAATAGTAGTAGTAGTAGTAGTAGTAGTAGTAGTAATAATAATAATAATAATAATAATAATAATAATAATTATTATTATTATTATTATTATTATTATTATTATTATTATTTTATTTTATTTTATTTTATTTTATTTTATTTTAATTAATATTATTATTATTTAGTGTCTGCTCCTAAGCTTCTTCATATAAAGTAGATATAGCATGTTCTAATGTGTTGCATTTATCTATTAATCTGTGAATTTGCTTGTACTTTGTCAGAATAAGTCAAAAAAGAAAAAATGCGAAGAAAAGTTCATATTGAAGTGCAAGTAGTAAGTACAACAGTGGCTGAGATATAATCTGGAACATTTGATAGCAATTATCTCACAATGGAATTTGAGGATTCCACAGATTTTGTTTGAATTAGAAAAAGTCTGAATTCCCTTTAGCTGTTGAAACCTCAGAGTAGCAATTGGCAAATGCTGACCTTTGTTCTCTTTGTCTCTACCTGTGAGCTAATTTTCAACTCAGGTTCCCTTCTTTTATAGTGAACATTTTTACTTTTTAAGTTCAGCTCCAATAAGAGCTATTTAATTAGTCTTATTGTCCTGCTATCCAAACATTAAGCTTAACACACTTACTCTGATACAAGCAGCAACAGCATGATGTTAGAGATAAGTTCAAGGCTCACACTTCACAGCTTTATTCAGATGCTCTAAGAATGCTTCCCCTTTTGAGTCTGAGTTCACTCTTGTTGCTTTCTATAAACTCTGAGCTGTGCTACAGCCCAATGCCTTTAGTATTGATAGTACTACATGTCCAAACTTTTTTGGTGCAGCTGTTTGATGTCATATAAACCAATAAAATTGCTAGTATTCCTGTCAGATTTAAAGCAACATCCATTTAACATTTGCTAAATACCTGAAATCATCCCACAACACATCTGCAAAGAATGTAAAACAGAATGTATGTGAAAAAAAGAATATACTTCTTTAATGTTTTTTTTTTTTGAGACACAAGCAAACTTCCTTAGGTGAGCATGAGTGCTTGGATGGAAGTGTGTATGTGTGCTGTTTGAAGAACATGTCCTTGGAAAATGTGGAAATTTTGATTAAAACCAGAAATGCATCCTGTAAAAATGACTGGGATTTTTTTTTCCATCTTTAGGCTTTAGCATTGTGTCTTCATATAGTATCTTATATATGGCATGTGCAAATATTTTGATTACAGTATATGCCATGTTTCTTGATAAGACCATATCACATGCTATATTGCATGGAACTCTTGATAAAATAGAAACGATAAAAAAATTTGAATTTGTTCTTCCTCATATGCTTGCAGAAGACCTTCC